GGTAGGGGCTTTGTAAGTATATCTGCCAGCATTTCACATGATGGTATGAACTCAACTTTGATAGTACCTTTTTGGACGCAGTCTCTTGCGAAGTGATAGGCTACATCAATATGTTTAGCTTTAGTTGAATTAGTACCATTGACTATGGCCAATGCACTCTGGTTATCTGTGTAAACCTTCATCCCGGAATTTCCGATAAGTTCCTTAGAAGCATTGAGTTCCTCCAGAAGTCTAGTGGCCCAGATAGCATGCTTTGATGCCTCGAATATTGCTATGTACTCAGCTTCTGTTGTGGAAGTGGCAATTGACTTTTGTCTTTTAGATTGCCAGCTGACGGGTCCTCCACCCAGCATCATTAGGTACCCACTAACAGATCGACGAGTGACAACATCTGATGCATAATCGGAGTCTGAATATATTGTAGCCATTGATTCATCTGATAATTCGCAAGAAGGTATTCCAAAGCTATATGTAAGACTGGTATCATGGGAACCTTTCAAATATTTGTAAACTCTGCAAACGCCATTCCAATGACGAGTAACAGGTGATGCATTAAACCTTGCTAGCTGTGATGTTGCAAAGGCAATATCAGGCCTTGTGCTATTAGAGGCATACCCCAAACTACCAATTGCACTAGGATATGCTGAGTTGTCCGCAAGGGGCTCATCGTCATTAGCAGGTAAAATTGCCTCGTATCCATCCATTGGAGACTTGAAAACTTTGGCATTACTTAGCCCAAGAGAATCAACTTTACTGACAATATAACTAGCTTGAGAAATCCTCAGAGTTCTAGTTGGCCTATCACGAGTTATTTTCCATCCAATTACCGTGTCAATAAGGCCAATGTCTTTCACGGGAAAACATGAAGATAGCCAGCTTTTCGCTTCAATTATATCTTCAATGCCTTTTCCACATATAACGAGATCATCAACATAAGCCCCAATAATCAATTGTTTTATCTGGTGAATATAGATGCACTGATCGCTGATGGATTTCTTGAATTGAAACGAAGATAGTGTGCTGCTGAGTTTATCATTCCAAGCCTTTCCAGATTGTTTTAAGCCGTATAGCGCTTTATTAATTCTAACAAACTTTGATCCGGGAATCCCCTCTGGTGTCCTCATATATATTTCCTCAGACAAATCTCCTTCTAGATATGCTGTCTTGATATCAATTTGATGGATTTCCCAGTCACGGAAAGCCGAAATAGCTAGTAATATCCTGAGTGAGTCCATATGAAGTGTTGGTGAGTATGTATCAAAATAATCTATCCCTGGCACTTGACTGAATCCTTGCGCAACTAGCCTAGCCTTGTATCTACCATCGGACTTAATAGCAAAAACCCAGCGCGATCCAATAGGTCTCCTCCCATGAGGAACATGAGTTACTGGACTAAAAACATTTTTTGACCCGAGGGACTCAAGTTCATCATGAATAGCTCTCTCCCATTTCGATTTATCAAGTCCGCTTATGGCGTCTGTATATGATTGTGGAATTTTATTATCTCCTCCAATATAGTGAGCTCTTGGTTGCCATGCTGATCTTGGTTCAATTGGTTTTCGTACTCGGTTGCTTCTTCTAGGAACTTGAGTCGGTGAATCCACTTCGTTATTGAATGAACCTGGGATGGCTTGATCGACTGGGGGTTGTGATGTGACAACTTCCATATCAGTACTTTCAACTGGCAAATATGTAGGATGCTCGACTGATCGCTCATATGGTCGAAGGAAAGGAGAAGGGAGTGATTCTGATTCCGATTCTGCTGTAGAGTCTGTATCAGATTCCGAGTTAGACAAGCTGCTTATTTCTGATGATGAACTGCTATCCTTTTGATGTGTTGGATTCTCCAGTTGTTGAAGGTCAAGTTGATCCTTGGATGTTTTACTCCAATCCCAGAATGAATCTTCAAGAAAACGAACATTTGCGGATACAACTATTTTGTTTGGCCCTGTTCTTGAAGGAATGTAAACACGATATTGGGTTGGAGATTCACAATATCCAATAAAAATGCCTTTGTCAGAGGTCGGAAGCAATTTATATCTCCGTGGGTTCTGGCTATCAATCAGTACGTAACATATACAGCCCCATACTTTAATATGCGAAATGATTGGTAATTTTCCATGCATAGTTTCGAACGGTGTTCTGTTACCGGGTAAAATTGGCATTCTATTCTTTAAATAGCAGGCAGTGGTAACAGCAAGATCCCAAAAACGCATTGGAAGTTTAGAATGATCGAGCATGCATCTAGCCATAGTAATGATAGTACGATTTAATCTTTCAGCAACCCCGTTCTGATGTTGTGTGTAGGGAGCACTCATTTGTTTTGTGATACCATTGAAATTAATCTTTTTGTACTCTGCTCCTCCGTCGAAACGCATAGCTTTTATCTTTAAACCAGTTTGAAGTTCCTTCTCATTTTTATATTCCAGGAATTTATCTCGGACATCTTTTGTAGTTTTTATGGGGTAAATCTTACTCTCGCGAGAAGCATCATCTGTAAATGAAACGAAATAATTACTTCCAAGGATCCCACTGACACGACATTTTCCCCAGACATCCGAGTGCACAAGATCAAGAAGATTTGCTGCTCTTGGTGTAGGATCTCTATTTATTCTTTCAACCTGCTTACATGAGTGACAAGTATGACAATCTTTAATTAAATCTGATGTTACATTAAGTTTTGACTTATCATTTCCTTTAGTTTTATGTAAGCAAAGGTCTGAGGCGTAAATTTTTTTCAATAGTCCTGTACCAACATGGGCAAAACGATTGTGAATCAATTTTGAAGTTAGTGCCTTCTCATCCTGCGAGATCAAAATTTGGCTTGGAGTAGAATGTGTTTTAGAGGCACCTTCTTTCGGGTTTATTGTATTAAATCGAAAAAGGCCATTTTCCATTCGAGCACTTGCGAGAAGTCTATTCTCGGGTGAGTGAATTCCCATGCCGTATTTATTTGTCCTCATCTGGAATCCTTTTTGAATGAGCTTTGAGCCGGAAACGAGGTTTCTGGTACATGTTGGTAGGTACCAGACGTTATCAATTCTAATAGTCCGATACTTGTTGCCACCTTCATATCCCGTGACGTGAAACTCCACAGTCCCAATTCCTGATACAGTTGACAAGTGTCCTGAGGCTGTTTGAATACTCTTTTCGGTGGGGGACATGGAGATGAACAGGGATTTGTCGTGAAACACATGGCAAGTAGCACCGGTATCGAGTATCACATCTGAGTTTTTGGAACTAGAGTAGTATAAATCAAATTGTTCTTCTAAGATCCATGCACCCTCATTTGATGAGCCTTCATTGTCTCTTTCTTTCCTCTTTTTATTATACGCTTCTTTGCGTCTCATCACACTTGCAGCCTTAGAAGGATTTTTGGCAGCCCACTTTGTACCATCAGGAGTCTCGATCCAATCAAAGCAGTTTTCACGGACGTGATTGGCGCGCTTGCAGTGAGCACAATATCTTATTGCCCTGGTAGTGTTATTTCTAACTCCTTGGTTTATGTGTGCTACGGTCGCCGCTTCATGTTGTCTATTAAAGCTTGATTGCGTCTCCCTCAAAGTGTTAACCGTCTGACTAAAAGAGATTGATGCGTCTAATCGTAGATAAGCAACAACACCACCATAGTATCCGTTACATTCTGTTTCGAAATGTCGTAATAGGCGATTCTTTTTTGTCATATCGGAGGGACGTTTTAATGGATCAAGTGACGCTATTTGAGATTGCTTTTGGGTGAGTTCATTTGCATACTCATCAACATCTGTCCCTTCGGTCATTGAGAAACTCCAAAAATCTTCTAGGATGGTGTCCACCACTGCCTCACTTTGTGGCTGATAGTATAATTTCAGCGATATCCACATCTTACGTGCCGTAGGCAAGCTTTCTAGAATATAGTAAACCTCTTCGGGCACAATTTGGAGTAGGGCCGCTCGAATGTTATTGTCAGTTGTTTTTGCTGATTTTTGAGGAGTTCTTGTTGTCTTCAGATCATTTTCATCATTTAACTCGGACAAATCTTCAGAGACATACTTCTCAAGGTTAAGGCCGTACAAGCACATCGTGAATAACCTGCTCCATCTGGCATACGTTGATTTGCTCAGGACAGGTGCGTTTTTGATGCCTTTTAATATTTCGGCAGTCGACATAATTGAAAACTAACTGGTTACGGCTCCAGTTTTGGCTAGGTGGGATGAACAGGACTGGTGTTCAAGCTGTACGACACAAGTGGTACGGATGCTATCTTTGTCGACTCGGAAGATTACTAATTTAAATCAATGTTGTCTCAGCTGGTCAGAGTTTGGTCTCATAATCTGTTGAGATGAAATAATTATTGATCTATTAATTAGAGTAAAATTGCATAAGAAAACTATTACGAACTATTACTATCTTATATACATAATTAGCAGTCCACGAGTGATCTAGTTCTTCAACGACGGTGCAAGTGTCCTCTACTGGTACCCTGATAGAAGTGAGTGATCTGTCTTCCTGCCTCCCGTTTAATGGCGGAAGATCAGCATCATGTGACTGACATCTCTTTCAACCTAACACCAAACAAATGTTCTACCTAGCTGGTAAACACTAACAGCCAGGTAAATGTATGACTCATTTGCTATTTAGCTTATACTAACATTGTATATTCTAGGTTTCAACACATAAAATGTTATAAAATAACATAATATTACTAAAAGTTACTAGGAACACTGAACAGAACATCTACTTCTTATTCCCAACTGCTAATACGATTGGATGGGTATCTTGTGGTGATGCATGTCCTTCCATCTACTTTTCAATTTTCACTGACTTTCTTATGCTTTAGTATGTATCGTATTAATAGTTTCCTTGGCTCCATGTTCAGATGCTAGGAAAGCTATTTTTTCAACTACACTCACACTTGTATAAATACAACCTAACACGTTACTCCTATACTAATGGTTACAAAACCCATAGAAATTAGAGAGATCGGGGTTCCAGAGTGTCAAGGTCAGGATGCAATTTCATTAAATCATAACTAAAAATCCAACTAGGGTATCCGTCACCTGCTGCCAGTCCGGAATCCTCCACTTTTGCCAAGCCCTCAGCCTACTCGTAAATGGAGAAACTTCACCGTCTCGCTTCCACTTCTCTTCTAGCATCTTTCGTGTAGCTTTGTTACTACCAAGCCTTGAGCCTTCTTTCTCCATCCACCGGGTCTCAGCCTTTTGTTTGGCTTTTTTCACAACCAACTCGTCATCTTCACAGCGGTAAAGGTCGCATTTAAGGCACTCACCGCATTCCTGATTCCCTTTCGGTCGGAAATGTTCACAAAAATGACGATAACCTTCCCCCTTGCTGATCTCTTTTCGACATACATAACACATCTGGTAACCACACACACATGTAAGCTTATTGCAACCAGATGATTTTACAAAGGAGGTATTGCAACAAGGACAAGTACGCTTTACAGCAAGAGACATTGCGAGCTCAACCTGGGTTCGTAAGGATAGGAGGGATGATTCATGGCAAACATGGATGTCAGACCATCCTTTGTGACATGAAAGGCAAGAGATCTGCCGACAATATTTGTTCTGGCAAGTAAATTTCAGACTGAGTCGACTTCGACGGATGCGAAGTACGGACTCTCTAAATTGATGGACGACAAACTGACCAAATGAGCGCCGAAGAAAAAGATAAAATAGGAAAGAGAAGAGTATAAATATAGCAAGCGCCAAGGGTATCGTAACAATGCATAATGTAAACGCAATAGGTATGTAGATAGGGAAGGGTCCAAAACGTTTAAATTTCCATGCCCGTTGTACTTCAGGAAGATATAGTTCGTCAACTTCCGCGTAGCAGCAAAAGGGGCAGCGAATCAGAGGCAATCCAGACTTTATCAGAGTTTCTTCGGTAAGCCTCTCGTCTAGTTTTTGGATGAGTTTTTTGTCAGTCTCGTCCATACTGAGTACCTGTCGCACAAGGACATTTGGCACGGTAGCTGAGCATTCATTAGAAGTAGCCGCCACACATCGTAAGGATCCAAGATCCGAATTTATATAGCGTTGCCATCCCTGTCCAAAGACTGCTTCTTTAAGAGAACGCTTAATGCATTCAGTGCATATTAAATGACCACTATCACAAGCCGTCAATTCTTCGAAACTTAGAGAGCTAAAGCAACATTCGCAGTCGATTAAGCCGTTTTGTCGTTCTACTTCAGCCCTGTTAATATCGCGAGCAATTCTATAATCTATTTGTTCCTGTCGAGCTCGTAATTTTTGTTGAGTGGGGATAATTATTGTCTCTAAAAGCTCTTTGTCGAGTTCCGGGCAGCCACTGCTTTTCAAGATAGGTATTTGAGACCCATGCTCTTTTGATAACCATGAGACAAGAGGATGGTTGCTCGCGTCAAGTGTATGTATAAGTTTCTTTCCTGTGAATAAAGAAGAAATTGAAAACCGCCAAGATTTCAATAGAAGTGCAACTAAAGTCGGGTGTGCACGAGCATAAGAGTAATTGGCGCCCGCCAAAATGTCCTTGATTGTAGATTGGGAAAGATCAAACTCTTGAAATGCTAAATTTTCTACAGCTTCTTTGTAACTTGCGCTGCGAAATCTATCCTCTGTTGCGACAATTCCATAAGCACCAGGTAGTACTTGATTGATACCTTGTATCCGTTGTGTGTTCAAGTCGCACTTTTTATGTCGGCCTCTTACCCAATGGGCCTTGTGTCTAAGCAAAGCTTCAGTCACAACAGCCAGTCGAGATTCTTCTCCAAAGCTCAGGAGCATTTCCCGAAACACCTCAATTTGCACGTCCGGAAAAATCTCAGCCAGTGTCACTAAGCCATCGTTTAGCTCTCGTAAATTTGTTTCTTCTGGCTCTTTCATAGGCCATAATTTTTTGCATCGTGTTAATGGCTGATCCGAAACTTCTTTTGCGCTCCATGGCCCTGATGAGTTCTGTCTCGAAAGATATTCTGATGGCGATGATGACTGGTTTGGTCGACGCCGCCTGCCGTAGGTTGATACTTTGAAGATACCAGAAACTAGAAAATCAGGTTGTGACTTAGCAGATTTTCCCATGGTTACATATTGTAGACGTTGATGATTCTATATCCGATAAACATGCGGTTATTGTTGTGGTTTAATAAAAACTCATTGAAATTGTAATTGCCTGGCAACGTTAATCTTTTGGCCTCATCTATATAGGCAGTAATTCAAATTTCTATTAAAGCGCACAGACCGCTACGTACCACCAGTCATTTGGGCAGACGGTAATCTTGTCGAAACTGATTTATGCTCGTGATGTGGTATTCAGGATTTGGTGGCAAAGCAAGTAGAGATAGGATCATTACATGTGATGAATTGGTAGGCTTGATAGAGAGGATTGTCTAATAAAGGGACACTGTACATCGTGTTCATCAATTTAGCATCATAGAGCAATCGTCTACCTGCCTATTTTTTGATGCTATTTTAAGTATATGTAGCTAAAATTAAATCCGGGCTCTATCGATTTTTCAGTCCGCTTATGTAAATGGCGCTAGCTATGAATAGCAATATTATCGTGAAGGCAATAGATGGTTGCCATCTGCACTTGTGTGTATGCCTAATTCACGCCCATATTCCTACTTGCGCCCCATGCTTGCGCTCATCCAGGGGAACAAACCCGTGCGCTAGTCTTCGATGCTCTATAAGAACATAGCGGTAGAAAAATACTCAAGAGTCGGGTCTCGGTCAAGACAAAGGGTCAACTTGCAATATATGGATGAGATGGTGATCAGTAGGATTAGCATCGGCTCCTTTTAGATCGTATCCCTGATTTGCTTAGATTTCATAGCTTTACAAACAAACTCAATTGTTTTCAACCCAAATTAAAACCGTAAATTAGCTTCGACCTCCCTAAAATTCGGGTTCAATTAATCGACAACCATGACCACATTGGTAATTCCTCGAAGATCTTTCTCACTTCAACTCATCCTGCGACCTTCCTCACATTCATCTGACCATCAACTGAAGATCTTTATTAAGTTTGAAAGTCTTAAGCACTAACAGAAAAATATGAGGATGTTAGCCCTTTGCAGTTGCCATGCGTCGCGAATATACCGTTTAATTATTCCCTCAAATACGTCAAAACCATGGTCAAAGGTTCAACCATCTCCAACTTCGACTAATCGCCATGAGTGAAGAAGGTACGAAAATTCGCTAGCACTTTAATTAGACCATTCGATATAGGCCAGGATATTGGATCCTCGGTCTTGATCCCTAGTCCATATACTTAGACTCTACGGGGATAAAAATATTACCTAACGAGTGAATATGGGGCAAAGAAGCGGAGAATAGGAGCCATAATAATAAAAGGGGGATAGGGAGACAAAAACCAAGAGCCCTCAACAAGAGACCCGATGAAATCTCAAATAAGTAATCCTACACCTGCAGGAGACACGCAGATATTTGAACAAGACAAATTATGTTCTGAACTGAAGGAATAAAAGATATTGAGAACATTTCAAGAATTCGGCCGTATAGATAAAGAAGCTGAGGTAGTAAACGCTGTTACGGTTTGACCGTTGTTTAAGCTTAGGCGGATACCTAAGCCTAGTATTGCGAATTCTTACGATAAGGCTGTATGAAGGGAGATGAAGCTGAACGAAACGGCACTAATAGTCAGGAGGCTGAAGCGTTATTACAACTTAGTTACACCCGGAAATACGTGGGTGGGTATAAAGTATCGTACCTAGGGACAAGTCGCTAGTCTGTAGATTTATGAGGTTGTCAACTCTTATAAATACCCGTCAGAAGTAGCTAGAGTTCTCTTTTCTCCTCATAAAGTTCAATAAATCGATTTCTTATCACCAACTCGGTTTCCGTCGCAATTGCGTTATGGTGTATATGGGTTTCTTCATAGTCGCACAAAGCACGTTTCAAGATATAGATCGAGTTTGGGGTGATATAGTCATTTGGTTTAGAAGAGGATCTTGTAGTCAATCGTATATGTACTATTTAGCCCGGCTACATTCGTGTCCAAGCCCCTAAAAGATTAAAGAGGGTACCTACTTCCTATCACGTCGTTTACAAAGAAAGAAAAAAGATGCCCATTCTGGGAGAAAAGTTTTTGAATAGAACGCTATCATGAATTTTGCCGGTTAAGATTTTTGTGTGAATAGCTATGAGAGAAGGTCGATGCCTTTGAAAGTTAGTGGTGTATATGGTCGTTTACACTTGGTATCTTCAATTGAATGGTTGTGACTACTCTGGGGGCTTAGAATGTAGTTGGGTGATTAGGGCAGTAATGTGATTGGATGCGAATGGTATCTCATTGTGTTTTGTTATGTTACAGAATCTTTGCATGATATTTATCCAATCCCACATACTTACATGTAGCGCCGTAGCTATTCTCATTAAGAAGTAATATACGGATGAATGTAGTGATCGGTGGTATCTCGTTTATCACCAACCTGCTCCATTTCCCTAACTCTGCATGCAACACTACGTGGATGAAGATTTACAGCTGATGTGAGGAGCGAATTTGTGAAAGATGCAAATAGGTCCGGGTCGGATATTTCTGGACATTCATAACGTGTTAGTTTAGGATTCAGTTTTTGTGTTCCAGTTATGTTTATATTACTTAATATATATCTCTCCTTGCAGGCTCATTAAGGGTGCTTGGCGCAATGGTAGCGCGCGGTCCTCCTACATAGAGAAAGACTGAGGTTGAGGGTTCGAGTCCCTTGGTGCTCGTACTGATGGAGTGGAGTAAAGGCTGCTGCATCATTTAAGGTACATTTTAATCCATAGCGATTTTTCGAGTTTTGGGTTAGGGATTTACGGAAATTCTTCACTTACCAATCTGAGTTTATTATTGAATCATTTTATAGTTCATTCCGAGTCTTTTACTATGTAGGACATGCAGGTCATTTGTGCCCACAGGCTAAGGATGCCTATGCCAGTAGCGTATCATCTCCTTAACCTTCCATACAGCTCCCCTCACAAGTCCTTATTCGATAATACGCTGAGAGGGGCCCCTCTGCCCTTCATTATCTCTCCTCCCCAGCCAACAAAGCGATAGCCATTTGCGTGTACATGGCAGCCGGGAGAAATCGCAAAAGCCACTGGATGTGGGGATCTTCTAATACCGACATTAGGAATAGATTCGAAGACAAAGTGACCATTTTGAAGCGTATGAAGTGTTCGAAGAGGCCGGCCAGCTGGGCGCTGCAGACTTGTGGGTACCTCGGGAAATTCACACTCTGCCTCTCTCTAGCCTCCTTCCCGAAGGTTGTGCTGAAGTCCAGGGCGCTGGGGAGTGCCGTTGACTCATCGACAATAGAAGCTCTCCTGGCTAGGTTGCCGAAACCTTAGTCTTGGCGCCCACAAACGTTCCAAGGTTGGAAACCTCTCGAAAATATCAGTCCCAGCATGGTCTTCAGAGACCTGTTTCTCCTCTCGCTCCACAACTCAGCCGCCTGCTCCCTTTCAAGTTGTTTGTCTCATTAGAGCAGCAGTCTCCCATGAGCCAGGACCCAGGCTTTGTATTTTTCGATTTGATGTCCTCCTTGCAGGTATAAATAGCGCCGTAAATTTGTAGTGGGGGACGGCAAGTAATAAATGGGGCAAGCCACTAGTTGCATTTGTAGTGACGCCTTTATCGGTCTTTGAGGCGATATGATGCGTGGTTAGAAAGAGGTTGAGGACGCAGAGGATAATGGTGAGTGCTGCATGATTGAGAAGTTAGTAGCCTGGGCAACTACTCCACTTGGGAAGGAGATACCTAAGACTATTTTTTGCGTGGAGAAAAGTTGATGGATGATGGAGGGAAGTCTAGATAACTCAGAGTTATTGGGATGTTCCCCTGGGTAGGTATTCATGGATTAGGGTTGACTTGGGCTGAAGAAAAAGCCACCATAACTTCGCAGTGGTACTTGCAAATGAAATCCGAGGCTTGAGTGCTATACTTTTAAATTTAGTCATATATTGTACACTTCTCTGATATTTTGTCAGAGCTAAATATCTGCATACGCAATTAAAATCTGATGCAAAAAAGGATTGAGAAGTCGACGGTTGGAGATATACTTAAGGTTGCTATCGACGTCGATTCGGATGCGATTCTTTATGACTGTCCAACATATGCAGAGGACGCCTGGCGTTTACATTGGCCCAACTTGGAGGTGAAAATTTGTCTTTACCGAACTTTTTGTAGTAAATTCCCGTAGTAACAAGACCAGACTATTTGGCATTGTTGAGTCCTCCGGGAGCGAGCGAAAGCCCCGTGTATTGTAGCGCGTTCCTATCTCATTATAGCTTTGTATTGTCCTTCGGACAGCAGGTGTGTGCCTGGAGGATGTCGTTATTACCACAACGTCAACCGGCCTGAAAAAGCATTGAGTCATCTTAATTCACCCACTAAAGGTATATAACATTCCCTAAAATGTGACATGGATCTTCATTTCTTCCTGTCAAGTCCAAGGCGTCATAGACACGCGAGGCTATTGGACCCACTCTCGCATTCTTAGCAGTCATCAACGCTAGAGCTATCATTAACAGGGAAAGCTTCATGATATTGTAGAACATTATGAATATCTTCAGATCGGTCTCAAATTCTCACCTGCCCTTACAATGTTATAGCAGTACTCGCACAACCATTCATAGAAGGATTCATGGAGTCGGCAAGCGATGCCTGTCAAATATTGCTCGAAAACCTTCAACTGCTCAGAAAATAGGGTTAATATTTTCTGTTACCATAAGCAGCGGATTCTTAATAAATTATGCTGGTTATATGGGTATGCTTCATGCAGAAGCTATCCAGTTACCGACGGTGGAGGAATCTGATCAACTTCAAGCAAAATCTCTTCAAAAAAGAGGTGATATATTGAGCTCTTCGCAAATTCAAGCCATGAATGGATGGGAATATCCTGGAGTCTATGCGTGGGGAAATAATACTGGTCGTGTTATTGAGGACTCAGATGAGCCTTTCGTCAAAACGGCTAAACGGATACCTTATTTTGATGGGAAACTATTTCGCGATATGAAATTGGATCAAAACTTCGGGGCAGCAATTGCTGAGAACGGCGATTTAATCCAATGGGGAAAAGAATTCTCTTCCGAAAACTGGAGTCCTTCGCTAACACTTCGAGGAAAGGATTTGATAAAATTGGCAATATCAAAAGATCGCATTCTCGCTCTCTCATCAAACGGAGAAGTTTATTCAATCTCACCAAACCAAACAGACCAGATAACTGAACCACATCCAGAAAAGCGCCAGTGGTTTCAGTTCTGGAAAAGCTTTTCAGACGTGGGATACCGAAGGATTGAACCAAAAAATCTTTCATGGGGAGAGAAAATTACAGACATCAGCAGTGGTATGGAGCACGGTCTTCTTCTGACCTCTAAAGGGCGAGTCTTCTCCGTTGCGTCTGCATTTAGTGAATTTCCTTCTAAGGGACAACTTGGTATTCCTGATCTCACATGGAAAACAAGGCCAACGGGCCATTTTGACCAACCTCACGAAATAAAGTCTTTAGATGGTTTCGAAATTACCAAAATTGCTACTGGTGATTATCACTCTCTAGTTCTAGACAAAGCCGGCAGAGTTTTTTCGTTTGGGGATAACTCTCATGGCCAGCTAGGAAATGACCTCAATTCCTCAACTTCTACTATTGACGTTCCCTCTCTTTTACCTCTCGAAAAATTATATAAAGGAACAAATATGCTTCAAAAAGTCAGCAACATCGCAGCAGGAGGCAAAAACAGCTTCTTCATGATCGATTCAATCCGTAAAGCAGATAAGTCTGTTGGTAGCTCTGCTCGCTCGACTCGCATTACGGCTGATACATGGTCATGTGGTCAGGGTATCCTAGGCAGCCTTGGGAATGGTCGCTGGACTCATATTCAAGACACTCCAACTAAGATTAATTCTCTCTCAGGCCTTTTTGAGTATGACGAAGAGAGAAACGTGACTATTCCTATCCGCGTGGCTAAATTATCTGTCGGGGCTACACATGTGTCTGCTGTTCTAAATAATATTACCAATGTTCAAACTGAGAACAAAAAAAAACCCGCGAATGACACTGTCTGGGGTGCTGATGTACTATTATGGGGTGGGAACGAGTTTTACCAATTGGGGACAGCGAAGAGAAGCAATTCATGCCAACCAGTTTCGATTAACCCACTTGATACTATTGTAAGTAAAGATAAAGTCAAGAAGCATCGCTTCCAGATTATGCCTCCAAGGAAGACTCGTTGGAATAATATGAAGTCTTATGTAGAGCAAGAATTAGAATGCGGAAGAGGCATCACTGCTGTCTATTGGAAGGCGTAACGCACAGATTTTCAATCCGCATTATGTTTTTGATGAGACCTTTAATTATGCCGAGAAGTTGAAGCAATCAATATTTGTAATTTACTACTTGGAATAATGAATTAATTAAAGTTACATTACTGCCTAGGGGTAATATTTTACCTACTCATGTAAACTAAGCTAGACAGGGCGCAAGAAACCCCCAGAACTAGCGCTACCTAGAGCTGTCTACGCCCGCCTAATTGCTGCTCGAACTGGACATGGGGACTTTGCGGCATATCATCGCCGCTTCAACCACACTGACGCCAAACTCTACCGCGAGTGCGGGAGGGAAAAATCAATTGATCACCTTGTCCAGTGTCGAAAAGCACTGGCAACATGGCAGCTTTAAAGCGGAAAGCGTAGGGCGCCGGCTCTGGAAACAATGCTCGGATCAAGGGGATGGCAGCTGTTCAGGGACTACGTCCAGGAGAGTGGAATATACACGGAGCCTAGTCGGAGGATGACAGGGATACCTGTGACTCGGAAGTGATAGAACGGAAGCCTAGGTGGTTTGGCATGGACAGAGAGATTGGACTCGAGGCTCAGACGCGTGGTGGCTGAGGCGGAACGATGGAAGGGAGATTGTTGAAGTTTTTCTTTTGTAATGCGGGATTTCGCGTGAAAGTTTTTGTTTTGTTTTCAATTCTGGGCTGCTGAATTCGTCATGAATCAACACATAGATGCATTTTGGCATGGTTCCGGTCATTTAGGTGGGACGAGGCATTTGTACTGCACGCTAGTGAACCTGATCCGGCCCGACCCCACTCGTGCTCAAGCTCCAGTAGGAGTGCGACGATAGTTACTTCACCTAGCACGTTAATGAACAAACAAACCAATTTTTTTGAAATTCGAATTTTCGAATCTTCACGTTTTTCCCGTCTCCCTCTCTCACGCGCTCGTCGCATTATATCAAAAAATTGTGATCGAGTCACTGGCATTTTCACCATGCCACCTGTTCGAAAAAAGCGTCCCAACGCCAAGTTGGACAACACGCGAGTCCGCCCGAGGGCTCTCGAAAAATTACCTGACCTTGTCCAGTCTCCGAAATGCGCGGAGATGAGCAAGGTCTCAACTAAAGGGAAGGAAAAAGCCCTCCCCGCCGTCACTGAGCCCGATACTGACATGATCGGGTCAGTTGAAATTGTTGAGGAATTTCCCCAACCATCCTCCGTCCCTCACGGGACTGGAGAATCGTCAAAATCTCCTCCGACAGCGTCAAAACCGTCGGAAAACGCTGCAGCCAAAGCAGCGCCAAAATCAACGTCGCAGCCAAAAGCTGCCACAAAAGCAGAGTGTCCCCTAGAGCTTCGACCAATTGTCGAAGCTGAACAACGACGCGCCGCCGAAACAGCGGCAAATCTGGCCCTCTGTTCCGCCGCCATCTCTGGCGTCGAAGCCACCCTCCTCACTTTGACCAACGGGTCAAATAGACAATTCGTAGACTCGATGAGAGTCTACTTACGCGCCGCCATTGCGCAATACATGGCCACGGGCCCGGCCATCACGCCACCCGTCCTCCCTACTCGCCCTGCGAAACCGACCCCAAGAGCTTCAGAAGCCAGGAGCAATACAATTCCCGCCGTCCCAGTGCTGCCTGTAAAAAGCACCTGGGCCACGGTGGCCACAAATGGACTGCGACAAAATGCAGCTCCTATAGCAAAGGCTGTGCCGCGACCTGCGGCGAGAGCCCAAAAGAAAGAAGCTCCCAAGGCGAAAGTCGATAAGCGACTGTTCCTTCGCCTGGAAAAGGAGCACGCATGGCGGAATCTTTCAAAAAACATTGTGAAAAGTAAGGTAGCGGACACGCTTAATCTCTCTTACAATGATATAACCTCGATTCATCGAGTAAAGACCGGCTTTGCCATTATAGCAAAGAACGAAAAAATACGACAAGAGATCCTAGATGTCTCTCCGAAGCTGGCAAGTGAAAACGCCAAACTCGAAGCATCTTCGGATCTTGTCGCCTTACAGATACCGAACGTACCTGTAAGTATAGTTTCACAGTACGGCCCCGTAGCGACCGATGCTGCAAGTGTCACCGCTGAGATCTTCCTAACGACTAGCGCGTATCTAATCCAGGTCCGACCTCATGGGACATGTCGGCCTGGATCGCCTTATCGAAACTGGCATGCCCTTTTTCACCGGGACGAAGCCCCTCGTGCGGGCTTCCGCCTTTTCGACGATTAGGGTATGGCTACCATCCATAAGCTTCGTCGATCAATTGAACAGTGCAAACGCTGTTTGGGCTTCCACGCCACTCGTAGTTGCTCCCGCGCTCCGGCTTGCTGGAACTGCGGATCAAATATGCACTCCGAAACAGAGTGCAAGGCCCTTACACGCTGTCGCAACTGTGGGGGACCTCACCGATCGGATTCTCGGGCCTGCCAAGTCAGACCAAAAAATCCGGACCGGTGACCAAAGAGCAGCTCGCGTGGATTCGCCACATCTAACAAGGGGAGTTCGCGAAGGTGGCACGAGCCAGGGCTGCAGCAAAAAAGGCCGAAGAGGCGATCGTCGCCGCGGCGAAGGATGTCTCGATGGTCGAGGCAACAGGTTTCGGAGCTCTGGGATCTGAAGAAGAAGTTTGAGGACACAGCAACCTCGACGATGTCCCCTTTTGGGGCATCTACTAACCAATAGCAGGATACCGGCTGGATCAAAGGTGCCTGCTAACTCATCTCTTGCTCTCAGCGGAGATTGAATAAATTTTGTCATTTGGAAGGTGTGACGGACGAGGGAATGTGTGAGGAGCGCATTTACTGGGCCCAATATGGAGGAATCTTCTGGTATTCGGAGTTGTTTTGATTTTTGTGATTTTTCGTTCCTGTTCAATCAGCTGCACTTTTGTTAGCGATTTACGAGGTTGGAACGAGTTGGGCTGCAGGAAAAGTTACAGGGAACCCTGCCAGATCCGCCGGTCCTTGACCCAATGTGGAAAAAATAGCTTTAGCTTAGGACCGAATGTATATTAAAAAAAAAAAAAACAAACAAACAAAGCTAGGCAGATCACATGACCCTACTAGCAGTACATAGATTTCATCTGTAACTACAAGGCATTTTCCTTCCCCCGGGTCCCTTCAGACTGTTGTAAAGTGTGTATGGGTTCTAAGAGGAAACTCACTCAAAGAATATAGGCACAGCTTCAAAGTACTTCGTAGTAGTTCAATCAAATAAATTATTCACGTAAATCGTTCTTATTATATTATATTATCTTTTTGGTCAGAATATTAAAGAATTACTACATCTAGGTTTCTACATATTACTCGTGTTCTTTGTCTGACGCTAAAACCAATTTCAGGCTAGTGCAATTGTGCGCCAAGTTATTCCTAAGCAGCCTTGCCGATCATCACCGACAATTGTGTAGCTCTAGAGTAAGCAACTGGTGCGAAATTCCAATACTCCTCCTGAGCAGTTAGTTTGCCGGATAAATCTACACAAGCTGGAACAATTGACAGCACAAAGGCTTTGCCTTCGATTGAGGCAGTGGTTTGGTCAATAAATCGGCCAACATCATGTTAGTGGGAGTATACTTTACTCTGATCTTTTTATCTTCAATACATTCCCTAATAAAATGGTATGCGACGTCGATGTGTTTGGTCTTAGCAGAGTTTGTTCCTCCGGCAATTGACAGTGCACTCTGATTATCACTTAGAGTTAATAGACCATCATCGCTCATAAGTGCATTTCCAACGTGAAGTTCCCTAAGAAGACGAATCACCCACACAGCTTGTTTGGCTGCCTCTGACAGGGCGATATATTCTGCTTCAGCTGTTGAGGTAGAAACTGACTTTTGTTGCTTCGACTGCCAGCATATAGGACCACCTCCAAGCATCACGACATAGCCACTGACTGAGCGACGTGTTACAACATCCCCAGCGTAATCAGAATCAGAATACATGAGTACTTCGTGTGATTTAAGATTTTCGGGTGAGGAAGGACCAAAACAATAGGTTATAGAGAAGTCGGAAGAACCTTTGAGATATCTGAACACCCTACAAACAGTGTTCCAATGTCTTATCACAGGGCAGGAATTATATTTTCCTAATTGTGAGACTGCGAAAGATATGTCTGGTCTGGTGCTGTGTGACGCATACCCTAAGCTTCCAACCGCACTGGCGTAAGCTGATTCATCTGCAGGGGACTCACCCTCACGGCCTGGTAGAATCCCATCGTAGCCATCCAGAGGAGAAGTGTATTCCCTCGCCTGCTGTAGACCGAAGGATTCTATCTTTTCAGCTATGTAATGAGCTTGGGAGATTTGTAATGTCCTTGTTGATCTTTCTCGAGTGATTTTCCAGCCGATGATAACATCTAGTTCCCCTAAGTCTTTGATCGGGAAATACGACGAGAGCTGTTGTTTTGCCCTGACAACTTGACTGAGAACCTTACCACACACGACAAGATCGTCAACGTACACGCCAATTACTATCTGTAGTTCCGGATGTATGTAAATACATTGGTCACTTACTGATCTCTTGAACTTTATCGAAGAAAGTTTTGCGTCCAGTTTCTTGTACCATGCCCGTCCAGACTGTTTTAATCCGTATAGGGCTTTATCGACCTTGACATAGTTAGTGCCTTGAATTCCCTCCGGACATTTCATGTACACATCCTCCTCTAAGTCTCCTTCAAGATAGGCCGTCCTAACATCAATTTGATGAATTTCCCAATCGTAGAAGGCGCTAACGGCAAGAAGTATCCTTAAAGAGTCCATTCGCAAGGTCGGGGAATATGTGTCGAAGTAATTGATTCCATGGATCTGGCTAAAGCCCTTTGCAACCAAGCGAGCTTTGTATCTTCCATCAGACTTAACTGTAAAGATCCATCTAGAGCCAACGATCTTCTTTCCACGAGGGACGTGAGTTATGGGCTTAAATACCTCTTTTTCTTTCAACGATTTAAGCTCTTCATCGATCGCGGCTTTCCACTTAGTTTTATCTGGTCCATTTGAAGCATCCCGAAAGCTTCCAGGGATAGGG